TTGCACGGGGTTGTCTGAGGTTCTCGGTGGACCGAAGCTGGTACAGAAGTCACAAGCCTGAGGCAGCCGAGCATGGCGTGACATACACATTCTTCAAGGCTGTTGTGTCTGTCGCGTGGGAGCTGCCGCAGCAGACGCCTGAGCAGGAGGTTGTTGCAGCTGGAGCTGGCACTGGCACTTCTCAGTCTGAGTCTGTCGGCAAGCCGCCTGCTGAGAAGGCGCCTGAGGCTCCGAACGCCCTGCTGACGAGCAGCCATGAGCCGGTGCGGATGTGTCAGTGGCAGTACTATGTGCTGAGCGACAGCCAGTTGATGGACAAAGTGCGGATTTGTTTGCTTCGCAACTGCCTGAAGAAGCTGAATCCCGAGGAAGTCCCCACAATTGTGCTGTCTGATGCCGCCGACTTGGCCTTGCTGTCATGGTGCCTGACCTCGGGCACAGAGTCGCGTGTGCAGATCACCCGACTGGGGTCGACTCATTTCCTGCCGTACCTCCAGAGGTGCGGCGTGTCGCACTCCCCTTTGATGGACTTCAGCTGGACAAGTCTGCCGCCTGACTCTGTCATGGCGGAAATGGAAAGGAGCACGATGACGGCGAGAGTCATGGTGGAGACAACTCCGGAGAAGACCGTTGATCAAGTCATGGCCGACATAGACTTGCAGCACGAGAGGCAAAGATTGTTTGAGTGGGACTACGCTGCTGCCAGGCCAGAGTAGCAATGGTACGAGACGTGCAAGTTGCATGCTCATGTCCCGGGTGCCCCCGAAAGCTAAGGTTTTGGAAGCCGAAGAAAGGCTCCAGATTGCCCAGGCTGGCAAAGAGAAGGCTCAGAAGACCATTGAGGAGCTCAAGAAGCGCAAGCACTCCGAGATTGAAAGTCCAATGCCTGACAAGAGTTAGGCACATATTCCCCTCAGGTTTCTGTCAGGTCCAATGGGTCCAAATGTGTTTATAGCTGCCTGGCACGGCATTAGTAGAATAGATAGTGTAGCAGCTTGTCAAAGGTCTGACAGTCTGAGGCGATAGCAAGTCATAGCTCTTTTTTCCTATTCTTCAGGCGCAGACTGCAGTCTGAATATGTCTCTGCAACTCCTGGGTTAGCGCGGCTTGGGCTCCAAAGGTAAAAGGTACGATCTTGCTGTGATCTTAGTACTGCAACTTTAATCGCTTTGTGGCCTGACGGCGCAGTTGTCCTGTGACGACCCCCACATTTTGTTGCACCTGCTTGCTTGAAGCTTCGTCGTGCAAAAACAGAGATGCCACCAGTGCCAGAGTGACGGGCTTTACATGTCATGTGCTGTCCTGCCCGCTTGCAGGTCCATGTGTGTATGGAACTGCCTGAAGCTGCAAGCAAAGGCCTGGTCCCTGTCAGAGGCTCATTGCGGGAGATTCTGGTTGAAGGCATTGCACATTGGACCTTTTGTTCAGGACTGGTCTGATGGCCCACATGTCTGATTAGTTTGTACGTGGTAAACCTTGGGAGTTTTAGCTTTATTGAATCCTTGCTGCTTGTCCGATACATGCTGTTACAAAACCTTTCCGGCTCAGTTCCACCTTTAGCAAGGGGGTAAGAGCGCAGACCTACAGGTTTACAGTCGAGCCCTAGCAAATGGAAGTCAATTAATTGCCTGAGTGCAATAGTACAATGCTACTGTAAAAACGAAGCAGCTACTCGTGTGGAGCTGTATGCAATGTTCTCTCTTCTCTCATATTTCAGATGTGCCTGATAATTTGCTTGTTGCTGAAAGCAGACTGCCTTTCCAAATTTCCTACTTGGCCGCGATATTGTTCAGTCACGTCTGAAGCAGCTGAAGAGCCCTGGACAGGCAGTGGTCCTCCTGGTCGGATGGATGGAGGCTAGGTTGATGGCGTATTTGGAGAGTGGACTGCTTGGAATTGAAAAACCCTGATGTGTGTCGCAGCCAGGCTGTTCAGATCATTGGTTATTGCCCAGTCATTTTGGATCCGACCCTGTGTCCCTGCCATGGCAACTGTCGAGGGATTCCATGCTTCTCCTTCGTGCGGATTTGTGCGTGTGGAGCAGGACAGTCCGATTGAGAGGGGTGCTCGTTTGCGAAAACATTCCCTGCCTGTGGCCTGAGGAGATGACCTTCTACCCCACGGTGCCTGAGGCTATGGTGAAGCAAGAGCGGAAGCAAGCTCGCCAGTGCTGTTGATTCAAAGTAATAGTTCTTGTCGTGTTAGGAGCAGCCTCATGTGTGATAGGACAGCTTGCAGTGCCTGAGGTTGGGCTACAGGTACTCGGAAGAAGGCACTGTGCGCTCCTTGTACTATCGCAAGGGGAACTTGGACAGCGTCAAGCAGTTGCTTCGCGGTTGCCGCTCTATGGACATGACGAAGATAAGAATGCAGCCTGACAAGTTCCAGAGTTACGTCGAAGAAGGCAAGATCAAGATGGGGGAAGACGGCGTGTCGCTACCTGGTGAGGAAGAAGGATTTTGAAGTGCAGGTGAGGTTCATCGGGGCAGGGATGCTGTCGGTCGGGCAGCGCACTTCGGGAGCAGCATGGGTCGGGTCCGGTGTCGTACTTTGGAATCAGCGTGATGGGATGTGGGGGGGGGGAGGGTGTTCAAGTGGCTATCAAGATTGTTTCAAGTACTGTGGTACAGTTGAAGTATTGGAGCATTGTGTTTGAAGTACATTCGAAGTTGATCTGAGTCGTATTCTCTAGGTTTCAATTCTCCAATTGTCTGAAGCGATCTGTTGTCTTTGCCGCGAGTTGCACGGGGTTGTCTGAGGTTCTCG